CTAGGGCATACTTCCGTTGAGACAAAAAGATTCCCTCAGGGCCACGAGCTACTTCAATCCCTAGGAAATATTTGAGTGGACCCAGATCTTTCATATGGAAGCATCGATCGAGATACTTTTTGAATTTTAAAATGGCAGCAGTATCATTTCCCCCAACAATCAGGTCATCAACATATATCAGCACGTGCAAACGAATATTGTGTTTGCAATAGGTGAACAGAGAGTAGTCAGGATACAACTGGACAAACCCGAACTGTATCAAGGCCGTTGTTAACTTTGAGAACCAACATCTGGGAGCTTGACGTAGTCCATAGAGAGATTTCTTCAGTTTACACACCTTTGTTCGATCCTTAGATGCAAATCCTGGCGGCAACTGCATGTATACTTCCTCATTCAAATCCCCATGTAAGAAGGCTAAGAAAGTGCGAACTGTCGTCATTTTGGCCACAGGAGCAAAAGTCTCATTATAATCTAACCCCTCAACCTGTCTATTCCCGAGAATAACTAGCCGAGCCTTATGTCGTCAATCGTCCCATCTGAATTATATTTGATCTTATAAACCCATTTACTCCCTATTGCCTTTTTCCCGGGAGGTAGAGTTTCCAATGTCCAAGTACCATTATCCTCGAGAGCCTGGATTTCCTTCCTCATAGCTTCCCTCCATTACTCACTTTTCATTGCCTCAGAAAAGCTGGTGGGCTCGGCTCCTGCAGTGACTGCAGCTAAGAAAACTTGATGTCTAGCAGAGAAATTAGTACATGTCACATAATTCGCTATGGGATAGGGAGTCGTACCTGAGGACTCTGATTTAGAGTTGGCTTGAGTGTGAATAGGGTCTTTCAAACATCGAGCAGTGTAGGTCACGTAGGGTTTCAACAAAACAGACAGTGTGCGATGTCGATGTCCCCTACCAAGTTGCTCTTCTAGTGCCGTTTGTGGTGTTGGATCCACATTAATTCTGTCCTCACTGCCATTAATTCCCACTTCCTGCTCACTCTCTTCTTCTCCGTGCTCCTCCTCTCTTCCATCACCATTATTCTCAAGGCTCCCCCTATCACAGATGTTGGCTGCATCACTCCCCGTCTTTATTCCCTCTGTGGTTGTGTACAACATCATCATCAACTTGTGCAATGGCTGGGCCAGGTTTGTTTCCCAGATTGGCTTCTGAACCAGTGACATATGGAAATATATTTTCATGAAAGACTACATCACTGGAGACAAAATATTCACCTCTTTCAACATCATATACGCGCCAACCTTTCTTTCCGTAGGGATAACCCACAAAAACACTTCCTACTCCTTTCTCCAAACTTATCCTTGTCTCGAGGACTCCAATGAGCATAGCAGAGACAGCCAAATACTCTCATGTGCTCGTATTGAGGTAGCGTCCCGAACAGTACCTCATACGGAGTCTTCCCGCCAAGTACAGAAGAAGGTGCCCTGTTTATCAAGTATTCGACAGTTAAGGCACACTCCCCCCAAAACCGAATAGGTAAACCTGCTTGAAACCTCAATGCTCTGGCAACATTCAAAATATGCCTATGTTTTCTTTCCACTCGACCATTCTGTTGGGGTGTTCCAACACAGGAGGTCTGATGCAGAATGCCATGAGTCTCAAAGTATGACTTCAGGCCTTTAAACTATGTTCCATTATCACTTCGAACAACTCTAACTTGCTTGCCAAATTGGCGTTCTGCCATGGCATAAAAATTTTTAACAACATGTGCTACTTCACTTTTTTCAAGCAACAGGTAAACCCACATAGCACGAGAATAATCATCAACAATGGTTAAAAAGTAAACGGCACCACAAGAGGCCGATACTTTATAAGCACCCCATGTATCACAATGAATTAGAGAGAAACAATCATCGACTTTATGTTTACTTTCAGAAAAAACTTCCCTAATTTGTTTTGCTCTGTAACAAACATCACATAGCTTATCTCTTTCAGGTCTACTGTTGAATTTACCTACTTTAGGAAGTGAAGATAATATCTATTCAGACGGATGTCCCAATCTACGATGCCACAACTCCCATTCACTCATTCTACTTGTTCTATTTGCCCGAACCGGTGCTGCTCCTCTAAAATGATAGACCCCATCACACTGCTCACCCGCTCCAATCAGAGTCCTCGAGGTTTGGTCCTGTATCACGCACAGCTTGTCAGTAAAAGTGACAGTACAATTTATCTCTTGCAATAATTTAGCTACAGAAATAAAGGTGCAGTTCATTCTTGGTACAAAGAGCACATGATGTAAATAAATATTTCCACCCAAATGCACAGTCCCTTCCTTTACTATAGTAGTTTGCTTCCCATTGGGAAGTTCCACCGGACACGGTGTAATATTCCGAACATCAATCAATAAATCAATTTCTCCAGTCATATGGTGCGACGCCCCGGAAAGTCTTTTAGATTTATGTGAATTCAGAATATTGAGAAGTATGTCCATTGGTCTCCACTTAGCCCCGGAAACCCGCTACGGTCATGATCATTTGTGATTCCAACCTTCCGTCCTCCAGTCTCACTTCCCGCTGCTTGGGCAGCATTTGCTCTTGCCTTGTTTCCTCGTCCTCGTCTGCCGATCATGATGAAGAGTCTGTCAATACGCCTTCTGGTTCACTGGTCGACGAGCAACAGTCACCTTCAAGTAGTGTGTTTGGTGTGCTCTACAAGCGGTAATCAAAGATTACAACAGTCGCGCAAATCCTCCCAATTTCTGGGGTTCGTCGAACTCCGAATGAAGTTTGCGATAGAAGTGCGGCCACGGTACTTTGCAAAAGAATCCAAGAAACCCAAGGGCCTACGCAGCAGAATTAGATTCTGGAGGATATATCGATGGACCATAGAATACAACAGAAACCATCAACCGGCCCGAAGTAGTTTTCAGTTCAAGAAAACCAAATCAAACACTCCGCTTCATGGTTCGGCATAGGATCTGTCAATCTCGATCATACTCCGTCGCACAGTGGAAACCAACGGTCTGGAAGGCAGGGTCGAAGAAGTCCTCCCGAAAACAGAGGAGAGAGAACAGTCCGTGTCGAAGATGACGAAACTCTCTCTGGATTTCGTCGTAGAATGCGAACCCAAACTCCGGTCACTGTCTCAGAAATGGGAACGATGAATCAGTAGCTTTGCGGCCGCTCTTTCCCGCTCAGAAGTTTAGTTGCCGCTGCTCTGGTTCAGACGGAGACAACTAATTGGCCCAAACTACAATGGCCGACGAAGATTGCCAATTCGGTGAACATGATTGTTTCCGTCGCAATGCCGGTTCTGTTTCAGGTGTCTCCCGATAGAAAAAACTGCGCTGCTACTGTAACCATACCGGAGAGAGCGTTAGATCTTCCTTTTTCTCTCGTAGAGTCATGGCTCTATCTCTGAGTCAACAGCAGGTACCCTTCAATGGTGTCTTGTCTGCCGCTGCTCTGGTTCAGACGGAAACCGCCGCTGGTTCCGTTCGAACAGTAGCTTCGCCGCTGCTCTGGTTCAGACGGGAAAGAGTCCAGTCTTCGCCTCTGTAGCTGAAACTGAAGAGGTGAAGGCGGAGCCGTTTGTTGAAGAAAGATCGGAGAAGGCTGAAGAAGAATAAAAACCGAAGAGCTCTGCTTGAGTGCAGAGTTCTTGTCTGATCCGCGAACGTCTCAGTTGGGAACTCGAATCCGCCGGTCGCAGCCTTCGATCTCTGTCTCTGTTTCTCTGGGTCTAGAACAGACGAACAGCGGAACTGTGGTTGAAATTCCGAAGTTGAATTCGCAGTGAGGGATTGAGGACGACGAAGAGTCTTCTTCTTCTTTCTATTTCCGATGGAGGTGATGAGTCTGGATTCTGGTTTCTGGGAGCGCCGTAGCGACGACTGCGGAAGACGAATAGTAGTCTGTACTCTGCCTGTGGGCGAAGTGCCGAACTAGAGACCGGAGTGCACAGTCTGTACTCTGCCGGCGCCGATTTACGTGCAACCGCCACTGATTTCCAGGTCTTAGAACAGAAACCTCTTGCTCCTGTTTCTTGCTCTGATAGCATGAGAAAAAATTATGTGGAATAGATTCAATTTCAGTAGGAAATTGCTAATTATAAGTTCTACTAACTGCAAGTTCCCAAGAAATCTGGGAAACTACTATCCATACTTCTAGGAGACGTGGGGATTAGGTTTCCCAATAGCCCCCCATCCATATAGGCGTTGCTTAAAGAGAATCAGATCAAGAGAACCAAAGAATCAGATCAAGAGAACCAACAGATCAATCTCCTCACTCAGATACCAAAGAAAATTACACGAAAGCGAAGGTCAGCAGCCGAAACGAACTGAAGTTTTCAGATGTTGAATCAACAAACAGGACAAGCAGACGGTCGTGAATTGAAACAGCAGAAACTTGAATTAAAACAAAGAGAAGAATATTTACCGCGCTAGCGAGAAGACACAACGAAATCCCTCCTGAAATTTCAAGAGCACATCCTACAACATGGTCGATTGGGTTTGAAGGATTACATATAAAAGAGGCTAACCCTTCTTCTTCTTCTCCTTCTCCTTCTCTCGGACAACATGGCGACGGTAGCATGCTGCCTCGGATTTATTTCGGGTCTCGGATGGAAAAACCGAGCAGGTAGCCATCTTCGAATGGCAGCGAACTCGATACCAGACAGGTCTTGTCTTCCACGTGTCCAGCATTTAAAATTACCGTATATCCTTAAATGCTTTAAGTATATAAATAAATATATTTTAAGATAAGATCCTGAATCGAAACAGATCCAATCAGATCCACCAGGTCAGGCATAATCCATTGGTGACCTTAATTAAATATTAAAATATAAAATATAAATTTCTGCAAAATCGTAATAGTTCAATAATCATATAGATTTGCAACAAATATAACGAAACCATAACACATTTGATCGAAACCGACATTGCACAAAAAGAGGCAGAAAGAAATACTCCCTTCAACGGAAACTATACACAACCAATAAATCCCAACGACTAAATCAATCGAACCTCAAACATCACTACAAAGCCAACCTGAAAAAAATAAAAAATAACAACCATTCAACAGCTGATGAATAAACTTGTAGAAGAACAACAAACCCTTTAGTAGGTGGCAATTAATGCAATATAGGAAACGTAAAAATCTTCAGGAAAAAAAAAAAAAACACTTCCGTAGACATCCAACAAATGCAAAGTAGGAAACATTAAAACCCTTCAAATACTTGAAGAAGATGGGGTGGAAATGTTCTTTCGTTCAATTCCTACCTTCCGTTCCAGTGAATGCATACACATAAAATAAAGACCTGTAAAAAAAAATAAAAACCATTCAGCAGCCTGTGAATGGACACGGGGCTTTTTCTCCTTCTCTTCGCTCTGGACAGGAGCGCTAATGGACACGAGGAGGGAGCAGGCGAAGCGTGTCGTCGTAATGGAAGCACAAGTTTTGATAATATCTGCAAGAAAAAACTAATTAGCAACCACCTTAATTATCTCCAATTCATGGTCACTCCAAATTCTAATATCAGATGCTGGAAGAACCAAAACCAGCATTGCATAACATTGCTGTATTAACTCAGGTGTTCCTCTTTGAAGTTTGACACCCGCAACATGAGCATCCGTATTGCAGCCACCGCACCCGGCTCACCAGAACCACCGCTCCTTGCAAGACCGAGAGATGAGCCCGGCATCAAGATCTTCACTTCCTTGTAATCTTTAATCTCCCTTATATCTGGATCATTTATGGGGACGGTAGGACGAGAACTCCTCCCTATCAACTCGTGGGTCAAGTTCATCTCTGTTCTGATCTCGTTGGGCATCCAAATCGCACAGTTCTGCAGTCCCAAAGTATTAGATAGCTCAACCAGAGTGGCATACAAGATGGTATGCCTATCCAATGACTTCCGAATCTCTTGCGTCAGCATTCGGACATGGCGGCCAGCTTCATTCTGTCTGATCATCCTATCAACCTCTCTGTCAAGCTCCCAAGCCTTCTTCTTCAAGAAAAGCTCTCTCACCTTAACTTTAAGAAGCAGTGGATGAGAGTTACAAGGGTGACCGCAGTTGAAAAAAAAGGATAATAAGAAATGAAGAGAACAGTAGGAGAAAATGATATTTTCGGTTCATCTGCTCTGCTATGAACTACAGAAAGAACCCAGAACCCAAAACCGCTTTTCTCCTCCTCTTCTGGGTTTCAGCGGCCTACACGGCGCAACATGGCCGTGTTTATCTCTGTTTCTGCTGCTCTCGTTGGAGATCAGTGGTTTCTGTGTTATATACGTTGCATGATTGGATAAGGCGGCAGGTGGCGAAGCTACTACTGAAAACAATCAAAATCGATCAGTGTTTTAAAAGCTTAAAGGTTGGCTCGTGAGGAAGATGAAAGAAAGAAAGAAAGATCCGAAGGTTTTTTCATTGAAATCTTGTTTCCATTTGCCACGGGAGTGTGTGTGTTTTTTAGTTACTGCTTTTAGTTGCCTTGCATTTCTGGTGCTGATGGTATCTGGGCTTTTAAAGGTCGGTGGCCCTTCTTCGCATTCTTTTTGTTAGTGATTCTTGTTTATTGTGTCGTGAGTTGTAGAGATCTCGTGCTCTTCAACTCTGCTATGATACGCAAACACTGAAGATGAAAAAATATATATATCTTGCAAGGAAAAGGTAGATAAGCAGAATTTAGCTCTATGAGGTTTCCCCCCTTGCCCCCTCTGTCGGATTTTTGAAAGACTGAAACTTTCGCCACTAAGTGGATTGAAGTCGCAGGTCGTAGAACCAATGTTGAAAGCTTAGCCACTGGGCTGTTGATTTCTTCTCTATTCTTTTCTGTTTATGCAATGGATAGTGGATTCTCACGCTGCAACTGCGACGACGAGGGCTTCTGGAGTGTGGATAACATCCTACAAGGTCAGAGAGTGAGTGATTTCCTTATCGCTGTAGCCTATTTTTCAATCCCTATCGAACTCTTTACTTCGTTAGCTGCTCCAACGTCGCATTCAAATGGGTCCTGGTTCAGTTCATCGCCTTTATAGTCCTTTGTGGGACTCGTACCCAGAAAAAGAGATATTATTATTTATTTTTTCTTTTTTTTTGTCATAAATGAGCGTTTTTCTTATTCTGTCATGGCTTAGCGAATAGTGATAACTGACAATTCTGAACAGTTCATTCAGAGACGATGAACAGTATCGTCTTCTCGTTTCGAGATGTTCATTGCCTTGAGGGAGAGTTGCGTACACTGGAAGGCAGTCTTATAGCCGGCCGTCGATTTTGATATCGTTGCGGATTACTCATTTTGAAAGCACAAGTTTTGGGATTCATTTGAAAAAGAAAATTAGATGAATTTTAAGGGGCATTTGTGTCTTTTTCTATGACACTTAACGGTAACGCCGGGTATTAGATTGTCCCATGGACAAGAAGACAAGGGAGACGCTTCAATCATGGGTTGAGCTCGGGTTTAATTACAAGGATTATATCACTGAGAGCAAGCTCATACAGGCCGGCTTGAGCCCGGGTAGATTGTCTTACTTAGTACCTTGCTTAAATAGTTGGTACTTTCGAGTTTACTAATGCCGAGCTATGTTATAGGGCCCATGGAAGAAGATAAGCTCAAGGGGGAGAGGCTTTTCCACCAGAAGAAAGGGAAGAAGAAGCGAGCTGCCAAGAGAGTTCGCATCGAGCCTCCGCAGGCCCCCACTTCCGAGCCTGAGCTTCCGTAGGCTCCTACCTCTAAGCCTGAGCTCCCTGACGTACCTCCAATCATCGACTTGGAGGAGATCCTACCACCTCGGGAGCCTGAGATATCGGCAGAGCCTGCCCCACAGGCAGCCGCGGAACCCGAGGTCGCCATCGAGGCCGCTGATGCTGCAGCTAAAGCTTCTGCTGAGCCCATCCGCACAGCCGAGACGGCCATTTCGAGCTTGGGGAGTCGGGAGAGGGACCGGAGCATCCTGATTCCTCAGTGCAGCCTTTGAAAGAGCAAGGGGGTTGTCTACACCGAAGAGGTCTCCCTTTGGGCCGACCTCACTCCTACTCAGCTCGGAGCCCGGGCTGCCACCCACACAATGGTGGTAAGTTATAAAAACCCTTTTCTCTCTTCTCTTTTATTCTCCTTTTTCGTACATCTCTTCGGTGCTAACCAATCCTCTCTGGTTAGGTGAACTCCGCCGTGCACACCTTGACTCTTCAGTCCAAGAGGTATTTGAAGCGGGCTCTAGCTACCGAGGACTCAGCTTGCGCAGCGTCATCGAGGCGCTGATGGCAGAGAAGGAAGAGCTGGCATGCGAAAGGGATGAGCTGAAGAGCGAGGTGAGCGCCCTCCAGACAGACAAGGGGGCTTTGGAGCTCAAGGCGAAAGGTCTTAAGGAGGATAAAGGGGTCCTGAAGCACGAGGTGGAGTTCCTCAATGCCGATATTGAGGAGAAAACCGAGATCTTCAACCAGGCCATAGAGGAGACCAAGGTTAAGGCCGTTCTAGACTATGTCAGATCGGACAAGTTTGACGCCGTGCTGACGGAGGCCTATCATAAGGGCTTCAAACTTAGTAGGTGGTTGATAAGGCACACATACCCCGAGCTCGATACGAGTGCCATCACCACTTCGCGGATTACGGACGAGATAGCCCGCCAGGCCATAGAGGACCCTGATTCTGAAGAGGAGAACGGCGACGAAGAGGCAGATGCCACCGACCTAGCAGAAGCTCCTGAGGAGGTCCCAAGTAAAGATGAGTCCCCCAAATAGTGTAGTCCTTGTATCTTGAGCCTGTGAGCTCAGTTTTAGTTTCCTTTCTTCTTTTTTGTTTTTTTTACCGAGCTCGTTGTACGAAACTCTCAATCAATGAATTTCACTTTTTTGCTTAGTACTGCGCACTTTATACTTTTGCTAGAGTGACTACTTTATCCGAACTATTAAGTGTCCGAAGTAGGATTTTTCGTTCGTCGCCTCCCCGAACTGTCTCTTAGTACTTTGTAGGGGTGGACTTTATAACGTACACCGAGGTGAGTGACATAGTAAGGCATATGCCCGACCTGTCTACTCCTCGGTTACTTGAGATGATGGTTGTCCCTAGTGGGTTCAACCTGTTGTATGCCGAGGTGGGCTATGTACCGTAGGGTCCACACCCGGGCTGCTTGTGTCCTTGGCATACTAAGCCTTCGCTGGTGAGGCGGTTAGGTCATATGTAGTGTCGAGGCCCTTAGTTAGCTCGGCATTTTAGCCCTTTGGCTGGGGGAGTGACTTAGTCACACCCCTCCTAGAGTCTGTCCATGCCAAAGAGGCGACTGGGTCTTATAGTGCCGAGGTCGTCGTTAGCTCGGCTTTGGCCCTTAGGCTCTGGGAGCGACTACGGTCCACCCCCTCCTAGAGTTTGCGCATGCCGAAGAGGCGATTGGGTCTTATAGTGCCGAGGTCTTTTTGTTAGCTCGACATTTTGGCCCTTAGGCTCAGAGAGCGACTTGTAGTTCACTCAGCTCGGCGATCATGGGTAATATCGCCTTAAGTTGACAATGTTCCATGCCCGAGGTACTTGTTTCCCTTCTAGAGTTTTGAGCTCATACGTACCTTCACCGAGCACCCGCTTTACTCGGTAGGGTCCTTCCCAATTAGGCCTGAGCTTACCAACGCCAGGCTCAGGCACCATAACTTTACGAAGAGTCARGTCTCCGACGTGGAAGCTCCGCTTTTTGACCTTGGCGTTATAGTACCAAGCTACTCTCTGTTGGTAGGCCGTGGTCCTGATATACGCGAGGTCCCGTACCTCGTCAAGTAGGTCAAGGTTGGTGCGTAGCTCGTCTTCATTTGCCTTGTCATCACATGCTTCTAGTCGTAGCGAGGGGACCTCAATCTCGGCTGGGATGACTACTTCAGTGTTGTAAGTGAGGTTGAAGGGAGTCTCACCTGTTGCGATCTTTACTGTGGTCCGATAAGCCCATAATACGCTAGGCATCTTGTCTACCCATAGTCCTTTAGCTCGGTCTAGGCGTGCCTTTAGCCCGCAGAGGATAGCTCTGTTCGTGACTTCCGCTTGACCGTTTTCTTGGGGGTGTGCTACTGAGGTGAAGTTCTGTTGAACTCCCATGTCTTGGCACCAGTTCTGGAATTTGATGTCCTCGAACTGCTTACCATTGTCAGAGATCAGTACCGAGGTAGTCCGGAACGACACACTATGTTTTTCCAAAACAAGTTCTGCACATTCCAAGCTGTGATTGTTGTGAGGGGTTCATCCTCAACCCACTTAGTGAAATAATTGACTACTACCACTAGGAATCTTCTTTGCCCTGTTGCTGGTAGGAATGGCCCGAGTATGTCGATCCCTCACTCTGCGAATGACCACGGGCTAGTACTTTAGGTCGGCGGCAGGCTGGTGGTGGATGTTGGCGTGCTTCTGACACTTGTCGCATCTTTTGACGAGCTCAGTTGCGTCTGCCTTCATCATTGGCCAGTAGTACCCCTGTCGCAGTGCTTTCTGGGCGAGTGCCCTGCCCCCCAAGTGTCCGCCGCACAGGCCCTCATGAGTATCGCGGAGGACTAGCTCGGCCTCAGAGGGTCGCAAGCAGCGCAGATAGGGGAGCGTATAGGATCTTCGGTACAACCGCTCGTCTATCATGACGTATTTGGCTGCCTGACGCTCTACACTTCTGGCGGCATTACGATCTGCAGGGAGGGTTCCGTGTAGCAGGAAGCTCGCGAGCGGATCGATCCAACTCGACTTTGCTTGAACAACGGGAGCGACCTCCTCTGCCCCCCTTGAGAATGCTAGGCCGAGGTAAGTTCTCTATATACAGGGTTCTCATGGTGTTATCGCTAGTGCTGGCTAACCGGGATAGGGCATCGGCCTCAGCGTTCTCTGATCTTGGGATCCATCGGATGAAGTGTGACTGGAAGTTGAGCAGAACTCCTCTTACTTAGGCTAAGTAAGCTATCATGGTTGGCTCGCGAGCTTCATACTCACCCGTAACCTGGTTGACCACGAGTTGAGAATCACTACAAACGACAATGTGTTTGGCTTTCACCTCGTTTGCTAGATTCAGCCCAGCTAGTAACGCATCATACTCTGCCTCGTTATTGGATGTTGCGAACTTGAAACGCAGTGCGGACTCCAGTTTCACACCACTCGGCCCGTATAGAACGACTTGTAATCTAAAGAGCTCCTTCCAGAATGTGCTTGTGAAGATTGGGTCCCGGTCACTGACGATGGACTCGGGGAGTCCATGTAAGCGGAAAATRTGGGTGAAGAACGTATGGGCGACCAAGACTGCGGTATAGGGATGGGATAAAGGGAGGAAGTGAGCATATTTGGAGAACCGGTCTACTACCACGAACAGTACTGACTTCCCTCCGACCTTGGGCAGCCCTTCGATGAAATCCATGGCAATATCGGCCCATATCTGTGTTGGGAGGGAGAGGGGTTGGAGCAGGCCTGCGGGGT